TTGCATAATTTCAGAGCCCAGACATCTCGTATTAAGCTAAATGTGTATCTCAAAAACATACACCAACACTGAATTCATTTGGACAGTATCAAAGACACACATGGCCAAAAGGGTTTTCTTTTGAGGACATCATTGCTAATTTTTACTCTTCAGACTTTTCAAAAGTCAATTCTGAAACCATTTGCATTTGTCCTTGTTACAGCCTTTATTTCAAGTTTATCGGGGGGTCTTGAACTGTCACCAGTAAGGGGTGTTGTTCTCAATATGACCCCAACTCTGCCACTCAGGGAAGAATCCACTAGATGTTCTTGGGCTGCCGAATTGATCAAATTCCATCTCTGGCCGTTTGCCTTGATTCTTGAAATATGTTGTCATCTTTTGGGTTACACTGGTCTGCCTGGGGTTGTTCTCTGCATGTACCAGCTTGTAATTTTTCCCATCATTATTGTCCCAGTATGTGGTATCGTGAGTTTTGTAGGATATGCAGAACTCCACCTGCTCGTGTGGGGGCACAAAACTTGGAAGGTCAATGAAAAAGGAGAAGGTGTCAACGTCCTCACATCCATAAACATTATTCATGTATGTACAAGGAATGTCAACATAGCTTTTCCATGACTCAAATGTTATTCGCACATAGACCATTTTCTCAAAGCTTATATTGCTTACTTTGACTGTGCCAGTGAGTGATCTCTCTTGAATTATACAGTTTTCCAAGCATACCAGGTACTTCTTTAGATGGTTCCGGAAATGCAAATAGTCTGCAGCAGGCTGAGGGAAATCCAAAATCAAATTCTTCTCCTTCTCCGCTTTCAGGCCCACAATGGCGGCCTCCAGGTCTGATAATTCAAACTGCAGGTCTAACATGGGGTCTTCTTCAAAATCCTTGAACACATGGACTGCTGTCAGAGACATGCCTTTGGAGTCAGCAAAAACCACTTTCTTTTTAGCTTTGGTCTCTGGACTTTTCCATCCTAGGTTATCAGTGTCCACTTCTGTCTTAGAGCTGATGCAGGATCTCAGAGGTTTGTATTGGTTGACTAGGCTCCTGGACTTACAGTCCTCATATAAACTGAGGAAACTGCGAAGAGGCGGCGAGTGAGCCAGACAAATTCTCATTGCCACATCCACAGGCATAATTGGACTTGGCATTGGCCTGGGGTTCAGTATCTGTAGAACCCTGTCATGAAGACAATAATGAAGAATACTACAGTGACCATTTAAGCAGGTGACGTGAAAGACTTTCCTCGAAATTTAAAGATTAATGTGGTTAACAAAACTATAGTTGCAGCCAGTTTGATCTATTTTACAGTACAATTATAGTGCCATAGCTGGTGGTTTAAGGTTTTCAAATTAGAATAATTATCAGTTTTTATAAATAATATTTATACTTACATATTATATTGGGATAAATCTAAAAGTAACAAATTATAAAATATCTATTCCAGTCTTTTTAGCACTTAAATTCACCTTATTAGACACTACTGCATATTTCAATTGTTACTAGTAATTTTTTAAAGAAAAAACTATTAAGATTTTACCTATAAAGTAAGCAGTCTGTATATATGTAATGACTGGCTAGTCATTAGATACATACAGTACGACAAGTAAAATTTCTATTGTAACTAGTGAGATAAGCAATATTACTTAACATTTGGGATGGATAGCATTGTCTGAAAAATTGGAACTATTATCTAATACAAAAATAATAGTAAAGCTATAACAGAGACTAGTAACTACGGAATAAGTACCAGTTACAGATACTAGAACAGTTAGTAAAACTGGAATATGTAAAATAGCTTATCTAAAGCACAGACCTCCATAGAATTCATTGGCAAAAAAATAGCAAAAACAATGGAACTAAATATCAACCAATTTTTGCTGTTGGACTAAATAGCGGTCAAAAATTCAGTACTAGTAACATAAATAGATAATAGTAAAAAAACAAAAACAAAGAGTTAAAACAGCTTGACATTGTCAATGTTCAAATAATACTTTAAGCAAGCCAATATTGTTTTAAATTGAATCTAAATCATTAGTCATATTCAGATATCATCGTTATACTTTTCCAGCACACAGTGAGCAGTGATAAACCCCCTCGATGCACTGTGACGCACTCTGTATTCTTACCTGGTGCAATTCATTGAAACCCAAGGTTTGTTTCCAAAACGGCAGACACAGTTTGCTCTGGTATAGTTTGAACAAGTACAGTTTTTTTCCCTACGTGCTTTTAAACTTCATTTAACAACGTGTCGACCACCATAACTAAAAACCCGCTGACGACCCGTCGTTTGCTGCAGCACGCCCCCTTCGCGGTCCAGCTGTACTGAAAAAGTCAAGAGCGTTCAGCCGGTACATCAAGCCTCTGCGCGCATTGGTTCACAGGAACCCATACTGACAGCCAATGGGAGAGCACGAGAGCGAGGCGCTCGAGCAATCAGTACGCAGGAAAGAATCAGTCGGGGCGCGCGTGAAGGCAGATCAGAACAGCAGTGAGCTGAGAGAGAGGCGGGAGAAAACCGTCAACCAAAATGAGATAGCTCGTAGACCTCTGACGAAGCTGTGACGCGTAATTTGTGGATAAGAGTAATTTCTTTTCTGCATTTATTTTTTCTTTATCAATAATGCAGAGGCTTGTGAGTGTGTCACTGTAAGATTTTAACTATTCAGTTATAATGAGATTGTCAGTTTGAGTCGCATGTGGTCTAAGGTTACTTATGGCAACCTTAAAAACTAAACTGGTTTTTGAGTTGTGGCACAGTGGGCAGTTCATGTGTTCACATTATAAAAATAGTTCATGGAGAAGCAGGTTTGAAACCAGCCTGTGCCATGCCCCATTTCCACTCGCTCAGCCTTTAATCGGGTTTACACTGTCCTTTAAACACTTACAGACACTTTTGTAGAATACTATTATCTAAACATGTCGAAATCTTCATAAATGGAAAAATATCAGGCCAGGGAAATGGGGGAAAAAGGTTATTGATGTATTTATTTATAGCCTAGTGAAATTGCTCTATGTGAGTGCAATCACTTTGAAATGATTAAAAAAATAATCATGCATGTCTTCATGAAAGCATGGAAGATCATTGGTCAAAATGAGTAGGAACATTGTTCATAATTGCAAGATCAAGGCATTACCACAGAGTATTCATACCAAATGCAAGCTGTCATTTGTGCGCGTTAAACATTTATGAAGCTGTCATGCTCTATTGGTGTTAGTAGATGGTCAGAATGCCATATGTTGCAATGACAGCAGCCTATTGAGTAATGTGACCTAGATTAGCAAGATCCATATTGCAACATTTAACAAAATGTATAATGCATTTATGATAATCACAAAACAGAGTAAAATACTTTAACCATATTTCATGATGATGATATAGGTAAGGGCACTTCTAAAACGTGTATGTAAGTTTTATATACTTAGTATGTAATAATATGGTTTTAGAAGGCAATTTGTACATCTGTAGAAAATATTTATTGCATAGTGAATATTTTTTGTTATAGATAGATGTATATGCTTTGGATAAGTTCAGGAGCCAGAAAAGACAAAGCATACTCATATAGTAAAATGCATTGTCTAATAATAATTCTCTAATAAAATGAAATTAGAAGCAGCACCCATTTCAGCAACAAATATATTACAATAAATTTGTGAAAGTGCTTCAAATTTGGGTGCTCTGTCAGCATATTCAAAATAATATTTTACCTTTTAAAAAGGTATTTTATTCCTTTTGAGAGATGTCTGAGTTTGTTTTGCTGAAGTCTATTCTAAACGCTTTAGTCTGTATCTAAAGAGTGGAAACTTCAAGCATCTATTGGTCCAATAACAACACTTGCAAAACAGGAAGCGTACGGACAGCCTGCACAATCAATGTAGCTACAGCTGGCCAACAGCACAATGATACAAAATACACTAATCAAATCACATTCTGTTTACACTGTTAATGATGATTGGTCCATGATGATGGTCAGTGAAAATCCATTTACCCCATATAATTTAAAACCAAGGAAAGTAGGCACTTTAACATAAGCAGGACAATATATGTACAATGTTAGGTGTTTTATTTAACATTTGGAGTATTGGATTGAATTTCAACATATGATTATTGTTTTCACAGTGAGTGCTGTTGATTATGGGATTTGACTCTGGGATTTTGACTGGATTTCCTGAGGTCGGTTACACAATGCAGGGTGTGTTTACTTGATATCAGCAGTCATGCAAACATGTATCGAAGGAAAGAGTACAGAACAAGACAGAACTTGCAAGGATTTCTTAATTTGTCTGTATGACTTTTTCCATAAAATTTTTTTTTTTTACTTGCATTAATTGGACTGTGCACAGATATGATTGTTGAGTATGACACACAATTGTGTTACGGTCTAAGGTTTTTATGTGTCACTTCCTCAGTGACCTGAAGTAGACCTGACTTCGACCAGCTGAAATGTGGGCAGTTTTGCATAGTGTGGCAATATTTACAGAGCTATTGCAAGAATATCAGTATTTAGAGAATCAACCAGTGAAATCAGATGAGAATGTGCTGCAGTCCATGAGCCCAAAATTTTAGACATGAAGTCTCAATGGTATTTTATGCTTATAAATGTTGGTTTTATATGATCTCGCTAATGTCAGTTCAGATAGAACAATCCCTTATTAATGGACAGAAGATAATTTGGTATCTTTGAAAAAACTTCTTCAACAGTTAAAAAAGGGTATGTAAAATGGTTCTTTTTACCTCCTTATCATCTGCCTGTTTTGTTTTAAGAGGTTTTAAAAAAAGAAAAGCCTGTTACTACCATCTGCTGCTGGGGGGTTGTATTACCACTCACTGAAAATTCACCTAGGGTACATGATGTAATGCTCAAGGTTTGTTGGCTCAAACATTCAAAGTTATAGAAGCAATGTGTGTATATATAATATCAATATAAAATATTTAAATAATATTGAATGTTTTTATGTTCTCTCTAATAAAACAGAAATCTAAAAGAGAGATACAGTCTGTAATTTTTATTATAACAATTTACATTCAAAAATACTCCATATATTCTAAAAGGGTACACATTCATAACATTTTGAACAGTATTATATGGCCATAAAGATGTTAACATGCCTTATGCTCTTTGACTATAATGTAGAATTTGTCTAATAAACTACACAGACATCATAGTCATCAGTTTGATACAAAAACTTTGACAATTACAACTAAATTATGACAGGCTGACCAAATACGAAATTTTATTTTACACAAGTATAGACACTGAAATTGTTTGCAAATATACAGTATGATATTTTACATCATTCCCATTTACATTTGACTAAATATACACAGCCAGCATAAGTTTAAGATATCAAAACAAGAGACTTTCACACTCGATGGTTTGCCTAGCAGAAACCAGCTTTGACACAGTGAGTAAACCTGAGTCAGTGTTTGTCCTCTCATTCAAGTGATCCTGTCCTCATCTGATTTTTTTTTTTTGTGCAGCTCACTCGACAGAACTAAGGACAACCATTTGTTCCTCAGAAAACAAATTATTTCAGCTATTAATGATACATTTCTTGTCAATGCTACTTTCATGCAAAGTCTTATGAACAGAAATCTTCACCACTAGCGCAGTGCAACACCCAGTTTCAACAAGTCAGATGGCACTTGTGTTTTGCTTTGTATTACCTCAGTCGAACAGGATGAAACTAAAACAGGCAGACAGCAGACTCAGAAAGAGGCAGAGAGGATCATTACATGTTTTCATTACACCATATGTGAGCATTTGAATTTAAGAAAGGAGGGAGGATCAAGATCGGACCCAGCTGACAGGCACCCACTGCGGCTCCCTCTCGAGTCGTTCCAGAATATTCCTCAGCTCTACACAGGCACTGGCAGAGTCCTCCTTTACCAGTACCCTGTCCACTAGGTGGCCATATTGCTGGTCCATCTGCTCGGCTGACTGCCTCATGTCCTGCAGGTCTTCATCCTTTTCACAAAAGGAGAGAGAAAGAGAAACAGACAATAAAAAAAAGATTTTGTTGACTGTACAATATAAGAGTTTAATGACAGGGATTTACTAGCTGCATTTGGGTAGTATGGTGATATAAATCAGTCTTACTGTGATATGTCCATTGTCACCCCTTCCTGGTGATGTGGGAGAGCTACATTGCCGACTAATCTCAGGGATGCGTGGCTTTACAAAAATCACATAGGGCTTAAACTCTGCTGTATGGAGGATTTTCAGGGCCTGAGAATTAGAGTAAAAAAAATATATATAAATCATAGCACTGGTTTCCAATTATGTGCTCAACAAAAATCAAGAACAGTGTCTCTACTGATGTCGTTGTAGATTGAAATCCAGATTAGGTCGAATAGAAACGTTACCATGGTGCAAGAGATCAATATTTATCTGACTGCCTCATGTCCTGCAGGTCTTCATCCTTTTCACAAAAGGAGAGAGAAAGAGAAACAGACAATAAAAAAAAGATTTTGTTGACTGTACAATATAAGAGTTTAATGACAGGGATTTACTAGCTGCATTTGGGTAGTATGGTGATATAAATCAGTCTTACTGTGATATGTCCATTGTCACCCCTTCCTGGTGATGTGGGAGAGCTACATTGCCGACTAATCTCAGGGATGCGTGGCTTTACAAAAATCACATAGGGCTTAAACTCTGCTGTATGGAGGATTTTCAGGGCCTGAGAATTAGAGTAAAAAAAAAAATATATAAATCATAGCACTGGTTTCCAATTATGTGCTCAACAAAAATCAAGAACAGTGTCTCTACTGATGTCGTTGTAGATTGAAATCCAGATTAGGTCGAATAGAAACGTTACCATGGTGCAAGAGATCAATATTTACACATTTATATATTAGCAAACACTTATATCCAAAGTGACTTACAAATGACTATTATAAAATAATCTACCTGTAAACCTGTATGAAATTTTGCCATGTAAAACAAAGGGAACTATTATCAAAATATCAAAGCTATTCTTTTCAATGCAAAGAAAATTTATTATGATCACAAGTTCAGTGCAATTATTTATTTAAATGAATTATGTATTACTTCACATCACATATGACCAGAGCTCAGAATCAGAAATACAGATAAAAGCCGATACTGACAATAATTGCAATGGCAAAATGTTCTATGTACCTCAGGTTGAACATCTACTAGACACACTTTATTTCTCGCCAGGACACTCCGGATAGACTCCAGACTCGTCCCATATTGGTTATTCTTATATTCACCATATTCAATAAACCTGGGTATACACAATATGTTTTGTGTCAATACAAACAACAGTAAAATTAAAATCGATAACACTATTAAAGGGATAATTCACCCTAAAATGAAAACTCTGTCATCATTTACACACCCTCATGTTGTTCCAAACCTGTATGACTTTTTCTTCCTCAGAACACATAAGAAGAAAATTGCCATTAGGGATGGGCAATACCACTTATTTTGTTTTCGATACGATACCGATATTTGTCAAGGCAGTATCGTCGATATCGATACCGATTCGATACTTCTGAACTAAACTTTTAAATTATGAAATGTATTAAATTATTAAATTACTAAGAGTAAAATGGGTAATGATAAGCACTTAACTTTATGTTTAAAACGCACTTTAACATTCAATATGCCTTAATTGTAATTATTAGGTTATATTTTTGTTTACACATGGTTCAAATATGTTTTTTGTTTACACATGATTCAAATCTATAAATACTACAGTTGAACTATGGTCACTTTAGTAAAACCTGGTTAATTTTCATGAGTGACTGCCAGTGACCGGCTGTTGCATGCATAAAATGCAACCTTTTTATTCTGACAGTGTATGATTTCTATTAACATTATAGAATAGAACATGATCAATATTATCTTTCAACGTTCAATTTAAATAACTGTAATTGCACAAACTATGTAGGCTACAATTTCAGTTTGTTTATTGTGAAATAACTCTGTCCTTCTGTCCTCTGATAAGCATTGTTCAGGACTGCTGTTCCCAAAAGCTTTAATGCTTTCTTATGATACTTTTGGGAAACGCAGCCCTGTTTGAATGCACTGTCAGAAGTGTGTGAACGCTCTCTGTGATTGATTGGTTCTGTCTTGCAACATTTGCGTGTCCAGATGAGCAGGAAAATAGTTCTATCTTACACAATTACTCGCCAACAAAGGTTATTCGTCCAATTCAATGCATATTGTACACATTTTTTTTGTTTGTTGAATTAACAAAATCACTGGTAAATAAAACACACCTTAGTATCGATATTTTTTGTTTGAGTATCGATACTTTCGATATTCACGGCAATATCGATATATCGATACTTTGGATCGATATGCCCATCCCTAATTGCCATGCAGTTACAACAGATGGTAGCCAACAAATGTAAGTTTTTGGGTGAATATGCCACACAGATGTGTTATAATATTGACCAAAAGTGCACCCAACATAGATATTAAAATCGTTTGATATAACATACTTATTCGATTGGATGTCAGCCTCAAAGGCTTGCTTGGAGATGAAGTTGTATTCTACACCTTCCTTCTCGTGGCTCTTCCTGGGTCTGGTTGTGTCTGTTAGAATATGATTACACAAATTATACTAGCATTTCAGTTAATGTCACATGTGATTTTACAATACATGATATGTCATTTTAAAAATTAGAAGGTTTAACTTCAGATCTTCAATCTGAAGCAAAAGTAGGTTCTACTTTGATTCAGCTTCTTGATGTATAGTATCAGCCAGGACCTCAACAGTCACAGTCTCTAATGTTCGACTAATGGAAAAAGTAAACTCACGTGGCACAGCAACACCATATCGATGAGGATTCTCAGCAATCACCTTCTGCTTCAGCTCATTGATTCGAGCACCAAGAGATCCTGCAATTAAAAAAGGAGATGAGATTCTGAAGGCCAATAAAAGAATGACTCATTTAGAAAGTCCTGACATCCCTTGAATCTTACCTATCAGCACCACAAGTCTTGGTTTGTCTTGGGGTCTCATCTGATATAGTGTCACCTCTTCATATATGAGAAACTCACTCTCTGTGGACTCCGCTGGATGAGACTCTTTGGTCGAACCCTGGTGATCCTTGCGGCTCAGTCTGAAGCTTCTCCTTAGACCAGCTGTGAGAGCAGAAAGATTTTTCCAAAAGATCAACATAGGTAAAGAACGTTTAAAAATATAGAGATCAAAAATAGACATGACTAAATTAAACGAACAAAAAGATTAGACAAAAAGACAAGGATGGAACAAGGTGCATCCTCCAGACTAAAAATAGCATGTCTCTCACACTGCTGCTGATTCTATGTAACAGCTGCATCTCAGGGGAAAATAGCAACATGCTGTTCATCTGCTTTGTAAAATGTAATATACAGTGAATACGTTAAAGCAGCAATGAATCTATTCACCTTACAAGTATGAAAGAAACATGGTACCTGAGTAAAACTCCCAGGAAAAGGCCTGACCACAGGACGGTGCCACCGCCTTACACTTTGGAGAAACTACAACTAATGTTAGACCATCACACATCCAGCATAGTTCTATAGAGACCATCACGAGCTAGCAACCATGCCAAAGCTTGTGTGAGCCATTAGCCCAAAGCAATAGTTCCCTGGCTATAGCAGTGCACCTGAGGAAAAGTTCTCCAAAAATAAGAGTTTCATACCCGCAGAAGTTCCTTGCCTGTGAAAGCCCATTTCCACTACATAAGGAAAAAATTCATACTTTGCTATTATTTAAGGGGGTCTGAATACTTTCTGTACCCACTGTATATATACACTGTATATATATTTATAAAATTATGATATAAAAATAGAAATTGTGAGAGATACAAAGTCATAACTGAGATAATAAATCATTAATATAAATCAAAATTATGACAAAAATTGATTCAAGTCAACATAAATCGAAATATTTTGTCATAATTATGACTTTTTATCTCATAATTTCAACCTTGTTTTATTTTCTACTTTTGTCATATTGATGATTTTTATGCCCATAATTTCAAATTATGACTTTTTATCTCATAATTCTAACTTTTGACTTTTTCTTATGTAGTGGAAATGCGCTTCCACACCTTTCTTCCATGGAACGCTAAAAGATAAATGCTGGCAGTTTTCCAGTTTCTCCATAAAATGAAAGATGAATAGGGACTGGGGCTGTCAAGAAAAAAGAATGCAAATATGGTGCCAATGTGTCAGGTTTATGTGAATATAACATGACAAATCATTGAAATTTTAATATGCAGAAGTCTACATTGAGATTATATTAATCTCAATGTCTATTCCTTGCACGAATCTACTGTATGACTTCAGAATGCTTGTATATGTTAGCACAGGTCGTCATTCACTTTCATTATAAGGAAAAAATGCTAGCATATTAGCATATAATTCAGTTTTTCTCTTTTTGTGTTTGACAGAAGTAAGAAAGTCATACAGGCTCAACTGAACAACATGAGACTGAGTAAATTACAGAATTTTCATTTTTGGGTGAACTGTCCCTTTAAGCATCAAGTGCATCAATCTGGCAATCTTCCTCTTAGCAAAAAGCACATACTAAAATCCACTGAGACTAAAACTCAAAGAGGGAGTTGTCCGAAGCTGGCAGCAGAGCAGTGGGCTCAAGATGTGACTAATGGCTGGGGTCTTAGGATGTGCCAAGCGCATGAGCTCTGTTTTGAAGTGTACTGAAGAACTCACAACAAAACCAGATGATATATAAAGCGCACCACACCACACCACACAAAAAAGCATCATCCAAAGCCAAAGCCATGTGGAGTGCATTCAGTGTGTAAGGTGTCAGCTCTCACCTATGTGCTGTCCACTGACACTGTCCTCACTGTCACAGTCCTCTGGAGGGTGGGTGGGAGGGTCAGGAGAACACAAGAGATGAGAGGGTACAGGCAGGAGAGGAGAATCAGTGGGGATCACACTTTACAAGGACATTTCATAGGAAAGAGTTATTGGAGAGGCCAAGAGAAACACAACCGCAAAATAAAGCAGCAAGCACTGAGCGCAGGGATTTCAGCATCTGGGTATTCAGAGTCTTGCAGTTAAAAAATTGAAGAGCTATTACTTGAATATAATTAGTAACAAATACCTGAAATACCCATTTTACAGATTTATGAATTAATTTGAAAATAATTTACAAATATTTTGATTTCATTAGGTTACACTTTATTTTAAGGTGTCCTTGATACAGTACAAATAAGTACTGAGTAATATTAGTTAACAACACATATTTACTATAGGGTTAGGGTTTATGGTTAGTTCCGTGTACAGCCCCATTTCCTTAAAAGTTGGGACATTTTGTAAAATGCAATAAAAACTAGAATCTGCATTTTGTTAATTCTTTTTAATCTTTATTTAACTGACAAAAGTTCAAAGAAAACATTTCCAATGTTTTCACTCACCAACTTAATTGTATTTTATAATATAAACAAATTATGAATTTAATGGCTGCAACATACTCTGAAAAAAGTTGGGACAGAGGCATGTTTACAACTGTTATGTCACCTTTCCTTTTAGTTACACTTTAATTGTTTCTGAACTGATGATACTAACTGCTGCAGATTTGCAAGTGGAATTTTTGCTTGATAGAAGACTTCACCTGTTTACCAGTTCATGGTCATCATTGTCTTATTCTCCTCTTCATGAAGCGCTATATATTTTTAATAGAAGACAAATCTGAACTGCAGAGAGGCCAGTCAAGCATATCCACTTGGTGACTACAAAACGAAGCTATTATTGCACGTGCAGAATGAGGCCTGGCATTGTCTTGCTCTTATCCCTGAAAATACGTAATTTTTGATAGCAGCATATGTTTCTGTACAATCTCTGTACAATATATGCCTCAGCCTCAATGGTATACCTTCGCACATATGCAAGTCACCCATGCCATGGGCACTCGTGTACCCCCATATGTTGGCTTTTGCACCTGTCGCTGATTAAAGTCTGGATGGTCTCTTTCATCTTTTTGCATGGAGAATGCACTGTCTGTTTTTCCCAGAAACAAGCTGAAACGTAGACTCATCTGACAACAGCACGCATTCTCACATTTCCAGAGAACTCGACTGCATCCCTGCATAGAATTGGTCTGTGACTGGTTAAGTGAAAATGTTTTTTTTTAAAGTACTCCTGAGCCCATGTGGTTATATTTAACACATGGTTTCTATTGAAGTGCCATCTGAGAGTTTGAAGGTTACGCACATTGACCTTCCCTATATGGACTGAGATTTCCTAAATCTTTTCACAATATTATGTATAAAATATTAAGACCTAACTTCTTTGCAGTCTTGCACTGATATTTTTTAATGGTTTTAAAATTATCTCATTAAAGGGACAGTTGTTCCAAACCTTTATGCATTTTATATTATATTACATTACAATATATTATATTATATGATATTATTGTAACGTTTTTGTGCAATGTAAAAGCGCATGACAAATGAGTAGAGTTCCAAAAGTCTTTAAATTATAAATCCACACAGAAGAAACACAGGAGATTGCTGGAGTAAACATAGCACAACACCTAACATAAACAATAACCAGCAAGGAACAGAGGGAAACTGAGGGCTTAAATACAAAGGGAATGTAATCAAATATAACTGAAACAGGTGTGTGGCTATTAGTAACTATAGGAACAAACTAGGAAACTCAGGAATGCAAGCGGGAACAGAAAACTAAATCAAAATAATATATTATATTATATTATATTATGAAGAATATTGGTAACCAAACAGTTGCTGTTAGCCATTGACTTGGTTAATGGCTACCATCAACTGTTTGCTTACCAACATTCTTCAAAATATCGGTTTTGTGTTCTTTAAGTTTAATAAGAGGTAAGCCATGATCCATCTTTGCTTGCAAACACGGAGACTTTGGTGGATGCTTTTTATACCCAATACTACTACATGATACTCTCACATATTACCAATTCATCTGCTTTATAATCTTTCTGCTTTTATTTTGCCTATGTCCCAATACTTTTTGAATGTGTTGCAGCCACCAAAATCTAAATTTGTTTATATTAACAAAATACAATTAAGTTGGTCAGTGAAAACATTCTCAGTTCTTATATTCATAGTTTTGTCAGTTAAATAAAGGTTAAAGAGAATTAACAAATCACATTTGCTTTGATTCTTGTTTTTATTGTATTTTTAAAATTTCTTTTGGAAATGGGGTAGTAATTATTCATAATTTACTGTTATTACTATACTAACTGTGTGTAACAAGGACACTATACTATAAAGTGTTACCTTTTATTTATTTCATAGGTAATTACTCCCCCTTCACCTACCTTTTTCACAAGTTTGGTCACCTGAGGTAAGCAGAATGAGGAAACAAACACAATTGCTAAAACATGAATAAGTATGAAAAGCCAATGAATATGGAATCTTGCAAGTATTGTCATTTGTGATAGGTCTTGATAAAATATGTACAGTGGAGATCAAAATTAGAGAACAATCTATAAATATTTGATTTTTTTCTGAAATATTGTTATTCTTCATGATTCAAAATGTGAAGGAATATTAACTGTGGTATACCACTGTTCTACTAACATATTTTACAAAATAACCAGACAATTTCAACAACAACCCTAACCCTAACTAACAAAAAAAAACATTATTTTGTGGAAAACACAGTGATTAAAATTAGAGAACAGTAACCACTGTAGCACGATACAGCTGTCAGAAATTAGAAGTGTAGAGGCCCTTGGTTTGAATGACTTCAGCACATCTGCGGCTGCAGGATATCACTAGTTTCTCACACTGCGCTGGTGTGATCTTGGTTCGCTCTTCTCACAGTCTCTTCCACAGTTCGGTAACTGGAGTGGGTTTCTTAGCCATAAATTTGTCACCAAGGATTTTCCAGAGATCGGGTTTAGATCAGGACTCTGGGCCGGCTATTTCATTATTTCATTGTTCTTAGCTTCAAGGAACTGCTTTACCCGTTTTGCAGTGTGACGGGGAGCATTGTCTTGCATGAAAATTGCAGGCTGATTGGGAGATGCTTGCAGGTTCTGATAAATATTTGCATTCACCCTGCCATGTAGCCGTATTAGAGGCCCAACTCCTGCTGCAGAATCCCCCAAACTATGACACTTCCTCCTCCACTTTTCACGGACCTCTTTACGCACTTGTGGTTCAGTCTATCAACAGTCTGATGCCGAACAAAATGTTTCCCATTCAACCCAAATAAATTAAACTTGTTTGCACCACTGAAGTGACCTTTGGACCCGCTCTCCTCTGTTCACACAACAAGCTCCTCAGCAAAGGTTAGTCTAGCCTTTTGATTCTTTCTGCTGATGAGTGGCTTTGTCACTGCAGAGTGCACTTTTCAGTGTGACTTCTCTTAAACATGGCGAGACAGATCCTTTCAAGCAAAATCCAGCTGTGTTGCAGCGATTCCCCACTGAGAGTCTCTGCATGATCCTGTCTTCTCGTGCATTTGTCTTACATGGACAACCAGCCTTTTGGGGGGACTTGAATGAATCAGTGTCATTCTAAAGCTGCAATATTCAAGGAATCACAGATTTGGAACAACCAACTTCTCTTGCGATGGCTGAAAGGGTCATCCATTTGGCCTTCATATGGACAACCTGCTGTTTCAGGGTTTCAGTCACCTTAGAGCTGCCTACCATCTTGCAATCTCAGTGAAAATTAGAGGAATGCTGTCAGTTAAATAGGGGTTGTCATATAATTAAGGAAATTAGCACCAGGTGCCAGATTAACACCAATAACTTGGAGGTATCTGTAATAATCTAATTTTGATCAGAGTTCTTTTTCAAATATCTCATTTAAGTTTTTTTATACTGTTTCAATTAATTTATGAAATATGCTTAAAAAACTGCCCTTCTACTCCTGTTAGGATAACTTCAAATAGGGCTAAGCAGTGACCTTGAAATTTAGGAAATTGTAAATTTTTCCCTAATTTTGATCTCCACTGTACATTGGCCATCTTCGTTTATCCTATACCGATAGGCCTATTCTTAAATTCAATGTGAGATATTAAGCTGTCTGCTAAATAATTTCTGCATTTACAGAGCGTTTGTTTAAATATTTACAAGAAGACCATGTCTTTAGTTATGTAGTAGGTACTGTATTTCTGTTAGCTACCCAGTAGCTGCCGAGAACTTACATGGTGATGCTCTAGGTGATTTAGGGCTCTGGTGTGTTCCCATTTTCACCCTATACAACAGTCGTCTGAAGATTTAGGACAAAAAGTCAAAATATAATTACAATAAGCAGAGATTAAACACTTTGTTTCAGAAGACCTACAGTGGTGGATTGTCACAGGGAGACAAAGCTGAGTCTCCTCAAATTTCTTTCAAAATGAAATGACTCATAACTCTGATGCACTCATTTAAAAATATGATGTTTTTTTATTCTTTCAATATGTCATAGCCCATTAAACACTGCAGGAAGAGGCTTATTTGATTAAAAAATGACCAATCAGAATGGATATTAAAATAATGCAACATAATTTTGGTCAAGAATTTAATTCCTTCTCTATTACTAGCCACATTTTAATACGTCATCAAACACAATCAAACATTTGTAATATACATAAAATGACGAAATAAACTAATGTTATTAACTAATGTTATTACTAATTAAAACTTAATATTAATGTGTCCAAACAGATCTAATTTACTGAAGAATCAGTCTCCCCTTAATATCCCCTCCTGGACCACCACTGCATATTAGAGACATCTGGTCTATATGGCAATAATAAGGGTAAATAAAAGGTAACTGTTGACATGATTTTTGTCGTGTACCTCTCCTGGAACTGTCTTGAAGGAATGAGTCCAGCACGCAGGTTGCTGTCTCCCACTCTTTTGGCCTGCCACCATGTTGGGTCATCTTGGCTCACCACTTGCAGGATGTCCCCACATGTGAAAGGCAGTCCTGCCTCCTGACAGGGTGTGGCCTTGTCTTCAAATGGTGTGTAATCAAACAGGGCTCTTAAATAGACCTTAAAGACAGAAATAAAATAACATTACATATAACGTTGCATACATATTATGAAGCAGCTGCTATCTGTTCTATCCTATGACATTCAAATAAAGTGATTACATTCACCTTACTCTCCTTGAATCTATCCTCCTCCTTAATGGCAGGGATTATCTTCAGAGTGATCGAGCCCTGAGACTGACACTGCAGCCCAATAAACAACAAACAATCAAGGACACTAAATCAGGTAAGTGCCTTTTCAGATAAGGAATCTTATGGGAATGACCGGATTTTGTAAAACAACAGAGGAAGAGTGAACACACCAGAACCTGGCTGATCTCCTCAGGACGTTTGTGTATAATTAGATTTCCATTGACCTCCCTCAACTCATCTCCAACATGTACCAGACCTGAAGAAGAATTCACTGAACAGTCATCATGGTGCATTCAAAATACAGAGGGGTCCTATAGTGAAAATACTTCTATTTCATATGCTTTTAATATTATATTTTACATGACAAATTATCTTCATAATATTATACTATATACACTTTATATTAAAAATATTTATTAAAAATTACTATATATATACAGTATATATATATATATATATATATATATATATATATATATATATATATATATATATATATTGTGTATATGGTGGCCTCCACTAATAGTCTCACCCTTGCCATATGAGCAAAGAAGGCAGTGAAAAAATGTCTTTATTGTCTAACTTTTTGAACTTTTGCTCTAAATATAAAAATAAAAAAACTGTGCTCTCATTGAAAACAATATATGTGTGCCACAATTATTTGGCACCCTTTTAGTCAATAATTTGTGCTGCCTCTCTTTGCCAAGAGAACAGCACTCAGCCTACCCCTATAATGACTGATGAGGTTGGAGAATATATGGCAAGGGATCTGAGACCACTCCTCCATACCGAATCTCTCCAGATCCTTCAGATTTTGAGGTCCACGCTGGTGGACTTTCCTCTTCAGTTCACTCCACAGGTTTTCTATGGGATTCAAGTCAGTGGACTGGGATGGCCAGGGCAAGATATTGATTTTGTGATCTTTGTGCTGATTTTGATGTATGTTTTGGATCATTGTCCTGCTGAAAGATCCAACCACGACCCATTTTAAGCTTTCTGGCAGAGGCAATCAGGTGTTCATTTAATATCTGTTGATATTTGTTAGTCCATGATTCCATGTATCCTAACAAGATGTCCAGGTCCTCTGGCAGAAAAACGTTTTTGGTTTCATCTGACCATAGAACCAGATCCCATTTGAAGTTCCAGTAAAGTCTAGCAATCTTAAGACGCTTGACTTTGTTTTTGGATGAGAGTAGAGGTTTTTTTCTTGAAACCCTTCCAATTTGTGGTGATGTAGGTGACATCGAATTGTAGACTTTCTGACCCCAAACCCAACTAACTAACAATTTTCCAGCTGTTATTCTTGGAGATTTTTTGGCCACTCTAATTGTTGGGACAAGATAGACACACGGCTGATTCATAACACTTCCAGTTGATTGGAATTTCTTAATTATTGCCCTGATGATGGAAATGGGCATTTTCTGCTGCACATCACAGCTATGTTTTTTTTTTTTTTTTTTATAAAACTGTGTTGTGTTTGCAATTATTTACTTTCAATGAGAGACAAGGGTGCCAATATTAGTGGAGAGTACTGTGTGTGTGTGTGTGTGTGTGTATTTTATAGGTTTATTATATTATAGATTTACTATTATACTATTTACTACATTATTACTATAGTTTATATACATTTGACTGATTCAAATGGTTAATGAATGATTAATAAAAATGAAAAAAGTCAAATTGGCTCTCAAAATTCATGTACAAAATTATTCTACCCCCAAAAGTTACGTTTTATAGACAATCTTTTATTCTTTCTAACACAAAACGTTGCATCTAACTGCTTACAAGCTTCTGAAACCTCTCTACTGGAATCTTGGCCCATTCCTCACTTGAAAAAGCTTCCAGATCACTGATCTGAATCTTTGGTATTTTTAGTAAATTCAGTACATTGAGGGATTTTTCTCAGTTGCTCTCTTCAAACATTTTATTCCCCTTGGTGATATTGCACTTTTTCTTCAACACTCTCTAATACAAGGTTTTATGGTACAACACATTTTAAACTTATCAATAAAGCTGCCAGCTGTGTCTCTAGAAACTTTTTCTGAACGTATAACACTGCATACTAATGTCATTATACAATAGGACAACTTAGCTTGCAAGGTACACGTCATATTTCAACAGAATTTCCATGGCAACCATGAAATCTGCTCTGTATATTTCCAGTATAATCTGTAATCCCAAAGCAAAGCATAATCTCAAGGATTTTAGTCAATATTTTGCTTGTGATAAGAAAAATCCGCTGCTCAGAATGCTATTAATATTTAAAAATAATGATTCTGCTGTGATTACAGTCTCCCCTTGTTGCTGACATCTAATTTTTTAAAATGTCATTTTGGATCTCTAACTGGAGAAATTCTCAGTAAATTCTTTGCATAACATTTGAGTAAATGGTTATTCAATTCCCTCTCTTTATCTCTCTATTGAGAATTGAGTTGTCTGTCATAGGTTTTACAGATTCAACAGTTTTTTGACTTGGATGGTCCCTGATTGTATCATCACAGATTATGCTATATCAAATCTGCTGAGAGAGATTTTGTAGTAAAAAAAAAAAAAAAAAAAAATCCTTTGCGCAGAGGAAAAAAAAAAGTCATGCTGACAAGGGGAAGGATCAAGCTGCCACTCACCACTGCGGTCTGCAGCCCCGCCCCTCATTATCCTAGCAACCACTACCGCCCCAGTTACTTCATCTCTGCGGATGGTCGCACCCTAAAGAGACAAAATTGATTGCAGAAATGAAATATAACCCTATATTTTGCATGTCTTAATGATGATGGACAGTACATTAAGAATATTAGTCAAATTTTTTAATACAAAACAGCTCAATCCTAAAACTCACAAGAGGCTCCTTGTTCTTCACCAAACGCACAATCTTCACTGATTCCTCCTCTAGTTCATCGTCTAGATCATCCGGCAGAGGGGGGAGCACAGGCTCAAAGTTCTTCTGCGCCACTGTGTCATGTACTATTAGCACTGCCTGATGGGTCATGGAGAGAATAATCACAACAAAAGTTGACAAGATGACCCAATAGTGCTGTGGATGAAAGAATGTGCATGTGTATAAGAGAGAGTGAGAGAGAGAGAGCGAGAGAGAGAAAATTAGCATGTAGGCGTAGATAGGTTGACAGAGAATGGAAATTAAAAATAAGGGAAGAGGAATCTGATGCCCGGGGCACATGATGGAAATGAACAAGTCTAATTAGAAGGCGGTAAAATGTCATCTGATTCTATTTTGTCATGTTGCACACTATCAGATTGAAATTAATTAAGCTTAATTACTTAAAATTTCTTTTAAATACTCATTTAACAGGAATTATTGTGTCAGCATCATATCTGTTAGTCATCATATCTATAGTATTTAAATACTGATGCTGCGGCTTTCAAATTGACAGATTATTAGAATTTAAAGAGGCAAGTGTTTATGTGCATCTGAATTTATTTTTTTTAAATATCATAAAATGTATTTTAGGGTCAAATTTAACATCAGTGGAAGATTTATTAGAAAATTCACCACAAAGATATGAATTAGGAAAATCAACAGTTAAGAAAATCTCAACAAAGACAGGGGCACAAGTGTGAGTTTTGCACCTTCACATGTGGATCAGTAAGAAGTGTTAATAGCTCTCTCTCATCTTCTTCCAGTGGTCCGTTCTGTAGCTCCTCTGCGACCTGTCAATTTAAACCACAAGACCAATGTCATCAAAAATGTGAAACATTTCTTAGTACAGCGAAAAAAAACCCACACTTAATCACTATTTTTATTTTCCATTATAAACATTTAGCCATAAAAAATATGTTTCTGTTTTATGGTTTGGGGTCAGTGCAATTGTTTTCAACATTGATAATGATAAGAAATGTTTCTTGCGCTCCAAATAAGCATATTCGAATGATATCTGAAGGCTCACATGACACTGAAGAATGGAGTAAAGACTGCAGAAAATTCAACTTTGCCATTAGAGGAATAAATTACATTTTTAAATATATTACAATAGAAATTTTTAAATAATATTTTAAATAATATGAAATAATATTTCACAATATTACTGTATTTTTGTTCCATGATCTGTTTCATAAAGTAAATGCAGTCTTGGTCAGCAAAAGATAAATATTTCAGAAACATTCAAAAAAATCTTACCAACATTTTGAAGAGCTTTTGAATGGATGTATATATTATAGTATTAAGTCATAAATAAGATATATAATGAAGATTTGATTGTTTGCCGTTGAGGTAGAGATGTCACTTACATCTTCGGCCAGGCAGGATGCGCTGTGGAGCACTGGGGTCAGGCTCTGGAGCTGGAACTGCCTGAGTCGCTCATGGATCTGCATGAAAGGTCAGTACATATGGAAAATCATTCACAAAAACAATATTAGGATGTTAGACATTATCTCTTGCTTTACGCACTTTCATAAGATAGCTGAGGCTCCTCTCACTGAAGACCTCCCTGAGGAAAACCATGTCCTCTTTATGATTAGCATCTGGATGCAGCTGGGATGTGAGGAGGGCTAGCATCTCGTGTAAACCTGCAAGATAACATTATAAAAAAGTTTATACAGTTATTCCTTATCTGTATACTTTTTTGAAACATAAATAATATAATGATGTTGCATTGACCAACACATCAGGACTTACTGACACCTATTAGTGCAAACGTGGTAGCACATAAAAACAAAGATTTTAATTTACCAATAGTATTGAAAAAAGTTTTAGTAATATTTAAACTATTCTGTCAGCAAAACTTCTTCATAATATCATGTTTCATGAGAGGGGATTAAACACATTTTCAATTTATCATGTGTTCTCAATATTTTCCCATGTAAAACAGCTTTTAATAGGTACATGATTTAAAACATTTTTTAAAACTTATTTTCATGTACTTTTTTAATGAGGAAGAAATTACTGTTCTTTATATGATTATCAAGTATAATTTACAATCACAGCTACTTAATGACATACCTGTGGTAGGTGAGAGAACAGGCATGGCTGCTCATGAGACAGACAGAGACGCAGGAAAAATGGTTCTCCTCTTCTCTCGGGTCACTCAAAATATGGGCTCATCTGAAAAGCCTGTTAGAAAAAAATGGCACAAGCACCGTTTAGCAAACCCTTAACGTTACGTTATAACTGTTCCCTTCTAAGGATTGCGCGGTAAATAGCTGTTCAATAATGATTTGACACATCAAATCAATGAGGTGAATCCTGTATGACACAATTAGAAGGTAATAATATTTTATGCTCATTTGATCATTTAATTTGAAATGGCTTTAAATATCAATGCTGTTTGCATAATGTTAAGGGAAGTCTTGGCCTAATGGTTAGAGAGTCGGACTCATAACCCAAAGTTTGTGGGTTCGAGTCTCGTACCGGCAGGAATTGTAGGTGGGGGGAGTGAATGTACAGCGCCCTCTCCCACCTTCAATACCACGACTGAGGTGCCCTTGAGCAAGGCACCGAACCCCCAACTGCTCCCCGGGCGCCGCAGCATAAATGGCTGCCCACTGCTCCGGGTGTGTGTTCACGGTGTGTGTGTGTTCACTGCTGTGTGTGTGCACTTTGGATGGGTAAATGCAGAGCACTAATTCCGAGTATGGGTCACCATACTTGGCCACAATGCGAAAGTTTGGGAACCCCTTGCAGAATCTGTGAAAATGGGAATCATTTTAACAAAATAAGAGAGATCATACAAAATGCATATTATTTTTTATTTAGTACTGTCCTGAGTAAGATATTTTACATAAAAAATGTATACATTTAGTCCACAAGACAAAAAAAATAGCTGAGATTATTAAAATAACCCCATTCAAAAGTTTGGGAACCTACTGTGTGTGGTTACCTGGATGATATACGACTGTTTTTTGTTTTGTGATGGTTGTTCATGTTCATTCTGAACAGTTAAACGGAGCACTGTTCTTCAGAAAAATCCTCAATATCCTGCAGATTCTTTAGTCTTCCAGCATCTTTTGCATATTTGAACCATTTCCAGCAGTGACTGTATGATTTTGATATCCATCTTTTCACACTGAGGACAATTGAGGGACTCAAACACAACTATTAAAAAAGGTTCAAACATTCACTGATGCTCCAGAAGGAAAGACAATGCATTAAGAGCCAGGATGAAGATGTCCCAATATTTCTTATTTTGCTGAAATACAATTTTTTTTCCATTTAGTACTGCCCTTCGGAAGCAACAGAAGATACTTGCATGTTTCCCAGAAGACAAACTAAGTTTACCTTGATCTTCAAATTCAAAAAGTTTTCACCCCCAGGCTCTTAATGCATCGTGTTTCCTTCTGGAGCATCAGTGAATGTTTGAACCTTTTTAATAGTTGTGTTTGAGTCCCTCAATTGTCCTCAGTGTGAAAAGATGGATCTCAAAATCATACAGTCACTGCTGGAAAGGGTTCAAATATGCAAAAGATGCTGGAAAACTGAAGAATCTGCAGGACATGGAGGATTTTAACTGTTCAGAACAAACAAGGGACTCATGAACTACCATCACAAAACAAAAAACAGTCGTAGATCATCCAGGTAACCACACACAGTATTAAGAACCAAGGGTTCCCAAACTTTTGAAGGGGGTTATTTTTATAATTTCAGCTATTTTTTTGTCTTGTGAACTATATGTAAACATATTTTATGTAAAATATCTTACTCAGGACAGTACTAAATAAAAAAGAACATGCATTTTGTATGATCTCTCTTATTTTGTTAAAATTATTCCCATTTTCACAGATTCTGCAAGGGGTTCCCAAACTTTTGCATGTCACTGTATATACCGGTATATATATATATATATATATATGAAGTATCTCAAGGCAAATTTTAATCTATAAAAATATCCTAAAAGGAATAATCAACAAAACTAGTCACAGTTTACAGCAAGTTTGTTGTCCAAAACTTTGATGTAACTCCCTGTAAATGGAAACCTAAATCACAGGTGAGTAGATACTACAGCCATAATTTACCAGCCGTACATCTTAGCTGCTGAAGTGACTGAGAGCCGATCCTGTAAGATGATCTCAAATTGTCTTCAGATTGTAGATTCTCCCTGTGTCACGAATCCGGTTCATGAACTTTCCAATTCATTGACTCTCGCACTACACACTGTTGCACATCACCCCGGACTACATTTCCCGTCATGCATTGCACTGATTGCACTCAGCACGAATTGCACACACCTGTTTACACTGATTGCACCCAGCTGTTTCATATCACTCCCTCACTATTTAACACTCACTCTGATCCATTAAAATTTTTCAATCACTACAGTATATATCATCAACCAAGCAGTTTGTTTCTGCTGATGTGGGGAAATCATGTCACATTCTGGTGGGAATGATAAGCGAGCAGGAACTAAGCATAAAGAGACTGAATCTGCATTTGCAGAAATCAATCTCCTCACAGGTCTCGAATGAGCCAATCAAGCTAGATCTGTGTCAAAACTGTATTCTAAGCATCTTAGGGTCTGACCTTTCATTAGTCTATTTCAAATTAAGTATTTTGAGATACTCATTCCTCACTTGCTAAACAGTGCAGTATATTGACTTTTAAATAGCACAGAATATTATGAGAATGCTTTGATGGCTGTTAAACATAGAATTCAACCGTATAATATTCATAGAACATAACCATTGCAAATGACAGTAATAAACATTTTAGTTTGTATTAATGAATTTATAAATTATAGATTTGCTGTCATACAATTTGCTACCATATATAACATATATTATAATATTAAAATTCTATATGCACATATAATTTTAATATAATACTCTAATAGATAATACAATAATAGTTATACAGGTCAAAAGTTTGGAATAATTAATGTCTAATGTTTTTTTAATGAAAGACGTCTCTTATGGTCACCAAGTCTCCATTTATTTGATAAAAAAATACAGTAAAATATTGTGAAAATTGACTTTTAAATAGCACAGAATATTATGAGAATGCTTTGATGGCTGTTAAACATAGAATTCAACCGTATAATATTCATAGAACATAACCATTGCAAATGACAGTAATAAACATTTTAGTTTGTATTAATGAATTTATAAATTATAGATTTGCTGTCATACAATTTGCTACCATATATAACATATATTATAATATTAAAATTCTATATGCACATATAATTTTAATATAATACTCTAATAGATAATACAATAATAGTTATACAGGTCAAAAGTTTGGAATAATTAATGTCTAATGTTTTTTTTAATGAAAGACGTCTCTTATGGTCACCAAGTCTCCATTTATTTGATAAAAAAATACAGTAAAATATTGTGAAATAATATTATAATTCAAAATAACTTTTCTATTTGAATATATTTCAAATGTAATTTATTCCTGTGATGGCAAAGCTGAATTTTCAGCAGCCATTAATTCAATCTTCAATACCATTATGATTTGGTGCTCAGTTATCAATTATTATTGGTACTCAGTGTATCTGTTTTAACTGCAGCCTTGATGAGCATAAGAGACTTTTATCAGAAGCAAAAACAGATCCAAATATTCACCGGTAGTGTTTACTTGTAAATCATAATTTAATTTCATATGATCAGATATAATGTCCTTTTTGTCTGTAATTGTGCTCTTTTTAGCAAAGATCAATTTCCTTTACAAAACAGATGCCTCTCTCAACCACGCAGTCATTTCAAAAAGGAGACTTTCAAGGTCTTTCACTTCCTTTATTTGCCGCCTTCACCAGTGAGAGAAATTTTCTTTCCCCAGAGGCCTTGACATGCCTTCACGAGCTGTTAAAATGAGCCCCGCCTTTATGGCACACTGTTAGAGCTTTCATTGTATTACAGCATTCATCTTCCTGCTTTCAGCAGCGTAAGGACAGAGGGGATGTCAACAGGGCTGGCTGTGTGCTTACATCCGTGAACCAGAACTATATTACTGTTAGGACACATCCTTCCCTCGTTCATCAAAATTAACCCAATTCGTGGTATTTACCCAAACCAATACACAGTCCCTCACTGAAAACATTTAATCTTTAGCTCTTTTTCTCACCACATATAAGGGATTGTTGAACATATCATGCATATCCACCTTGCTCTGTAGCTGTGAAGTATCCGTCTGTGTACAAAAAGAACAAGAAATTAAGACACAACCTAATGACAGACACGCTCAGAACTGACTGGCTTAACATGTTCAACCAAAACACAGATCTATCTTTATAACATGCTGTGAGGTATGAAGGTCACCTGTGGGTTTGTACGGTTCCTTATTGATGTCTCTCTAACTCCTCTGTGTCCTCCTCCCCCACATATTGTATATCTTTCTTCCTGTCACATATTCATAATGACTCCTGGTGTGTGGGTGTGTTTAGGGTGTTTTTTGCTATTGTTTGCAAGGCAGCACTATATTGATATTGCTCAAACATTCTGTAAGAATGTATTTTAAACCCCAAACCCCAGGACTTTGTCCCATTTACAAGCCTGAAACCAAATCTTACCTAAAAGTTTACCACTATTTATTTTAGGGATGTAACTGTACACGTATTTTTACCAACATTTTTTGGTACAGGTCTTTTGGTTTGGCACACACTTAGCTAATGAATGCAGTGTTGCATACTGCATGTGTGGAACTTCTGTGTGTGCAGAATGGAATTTAAAACTTTGATGTTGCAAACGCATCTGATAAATAGCAAAGGACACAAGGTGAGTTGCTGTGGAAAATGTACATTATCCTTAACATTGTCCTAAACATGAGATATGCTTTATATTACCCAAAAATGTACAATTCTGCCATTATTTACTCACCTTCAAGTTGTTCCAAAGCTGTAAGACTTTGGTCATCTTTGAAAGTCAAATTATGTTTTTTTTTTATTAAATATGAGATGTTTCTGTCCCAAGTAACCAGAAGATCCAGAAAGTTCATAAAAGCATCATAAAATGAATCCATTTTAATCTAGCAGTTTAATCCAAGTCGTATGAAGAGATACAATCACTTTATTTGATGAACAAATTTAATTTAGGCTTTGCCATATGCGATTTTAGCACATCACATGGTAAACATGGAAGCTTGTGTGTGCGTCTTTTCTTGTTTACTGGATACATATTAATTTTTTTTTGCTTTAGTTTAGTTGATTTAACTCTTTATTATATCTGCTGTTGGTTAATTGATGTGTCTCGTAAGCTGTT